AATGCAGTTCTCAGAAACGTGTGGTCTCCAACACTATCTTAGCCAGAACCACCTGGAAGTGCTGGTTAAATGAAATTCCCAGAGATGCCACAACTATACCCATCCCCCAACACACACACCTTTCCAGTGAGGGTCTCTGAGGCCGGGTCCAGAAATTTGTCTTCATAGCAAGCTCCCAAAATGACTGTTGTGACAGTAAAGTTTGAGCAATATTGTTCTAGAGGTTTCAGTTTGATTATGAATACATGAGGAAAATTACAGAGGGAAACACTTTGATGACAGCCATTTTGTGGGCTTTCTTTTAGAACTCTCTTTCCTTTTCATTTTTTTTAAAGATTTATTTATTAATGCATATAAGAACTGGTGTACAGGCCAGAGGATTCACCAGAGACAGAGTGGGACAGAACAGGCAGATCTACAGAAATGCACTGCTGAAGGGAGCAGAGGGCTGGTCAGGAGAGATCTGCTGTGTCATGTGGGTCACCTCCCTGGCCAGCGATCCAACTCGTGCTGCAGTGGCTACAGATAGCTTCATAGTGCTGGACTGTAACCAGTGGCATCACCAGGAAAAGCCCTTATTTGGTATATTTTTAAAAGCTCACACAACTTGTGCATATATCATTTCACTTAGCACAAATGTGACTTCTAGCTGCATACCTGCATACGGGAGGTGCTAATTTCTTTTCCATCTTTACAGCTCTCATCTCCTTTATTCTCATCTCCAGCAGGTCCCCAGTGATCTCTGGTGCCCTGTTGTCTCCAGTCTCCCTCGCAATCAGGCACACATATACAAGCACATACTCAGATATGTATGGATAAGTAGTTTTATCTGTACATATTTCTATGTACTAACATAGAAATTAATTTCCTTTTTTTCCTGTATCTTTTCTCATACAAAAATACCTAATAGAATTCCTTTCATAAAGTTTGACTCCAATTTACTTTTTGAAATGTTTATGTATGATTTCACAGTTCAAGTGAATCATAATTTATCCAATCATTTTCTACTGACAGCTATACTTTCTTCCCAGGTTGCTGGTCCTATGGAGAATGCAGCAATTGGTATTTCTGCAAGATATATATTTTTCATTTCTAAGGAGAGATTCTTAGACATAAGACAGAGAACTGTATAAGTATTTGCTATAATAATATCAATTAATGTTATTGTCTTGCAAAATTGTATGTATAATATTTTTAGTAGCATTTTCTAGCTTTACAAATAAGAGACTATTATAACCATTTCATATGAGTACTATTTTCTCCATTCACAACTTATCATTCTAAAGATTTATATTGGTTGCAAAATGTAGTTAGTCACAATAGTTAGTCACAATAATGTATATATATATTTTTTAAAGATTTTATTTATTTATTCATATAGAACTGGGGTACAGGCCAGAGATGCGGAGGGTGAGAGGATTCACCACAGACAGAGTGGGGAGCAGAACAGGCAGA